GGTGTTGAAGGCTCTAGGGTCTGATCATTTCTTGCATCTTCCAGCTTCTATTGGCTTGAGACTTTCCTCAGCTTGTGGCTTCTCACTCGATCTCTGCCTGTGCCTGATATAGCGTTCTCCCATGTGTCCCCCCTGCTGTGTCTCTTAAGAACACTTTTTGGATTTCAGGCCCACACACGTAATTCAGGATCATCTATTCTCAAAATTTTTAACTTCATTACATCAGCAAAGACCTTTTTTCTAAACAGGTCATGTTCACAGGTTCTGGGGGTTAGGACATGGACATATCTTTTTGAGGGACGAAACTGAGCCCTTTCATCCCCATACAGTTTCCCACTGTTTTCTCTTACATGGGGCCATGTTTTGTTTTTAAGTTTTTATTTTAATTTCAGTTGGTTAACATACAGTGTAATATTAGTTTCAGATCTACAATATAGTGATTCAGCATTTCATACAACACCTGGTGCTCATCACAAGTGCAACCTTGATCCCCATCATATATTTAACACCTGGGGCCAGGTTTTAACCCCATTTTATATGCAGTTTGTTGTTATCTTGCTTATACCAGATTCTCAGGAATCCTGAATGACCGTTCTTTCTCCCAAGACTACTTACTCTAACTTGGGATTTCACTCCTAACAGTGAAACCTATGGAGCCTCAAAATTAACAACTCAAGAAATAGGTGTTGGCAAGGATGAACAGAAAGGGGAACCCTCTTGCACTGCTGGTGGGAATGTAAACTGGCACAGCCACTCTAGAAAACAGTATGGAATTTCCCCAAAAAGTTAAAAATAGAGCTACCCTAACATCCAGCAATTGCACTGCTAGATATTTACCCAAAGGATACAAAAATGCTGATTCGAAGGGACACATGCCCAATGTTTACAGCAGTGCTATCGACAATAGCCAAAGTATGGAAAGAACCCAAATGCCTGGATAAAGATGTGTGTATATATATATACATGGATTATTACTCATCCATAAAAGAAAACCTTGCCATTTGCAACAATGTGGATGGAGCTAGAGTATTATACTAAGCAAAATAAGTCAGTCAGAGAAAAGTACCATATGATTTCACTCTTATGTGGAACTTAAGAAACAAAATAAACATGGAAAAAAGAGAGGCAAACCAAGAAACACTCTTAACAATGGAGAGCAACTTGATGGTTACCAGATGGGAGGCAGGTGGGAGATAGCTTAAATAGGGGATGGGAATTAAGGAGAGCACTTGTGGTAAGCACCAGGTGTTGTATATAAGTATTGAATCACTAAATTCTACACCTGAAACTAATATTACACTATGTTATCTAACAAATTTAAATAAAAGCTTTAAAAAAAAAAAAAAAAGAAAGAAACCTATGGAGCCTAGCTGGTTAGTGAGGGTGAATTTTGTGGCTACTTTAGGTACAGGGAGTCCCAGGAAGAGCATTCAGATGTGGCCACTGGCCCAAATGGTCCTGCATTATATCAGCCACTGGGGTCTTGCTATCAGAACCCTGACCAGGGCGTTTATGAGTCTCACATTCTAATGTTCTACTTGCTGGCTCTCCATGAGGCAAACTCCTTTTTTATCTCCTCTCTACTATTTCTATCCCTTGAGACTTTTAATAATGTGTTCCTGTGCTTGGGGATATGCTGAAGGTCTCATTTCCAAGGGTTTTGTGGATAAACTGTGACTTGAAAATGTGTTGGAAGACCTGTTGCCTGGGAATAGGAAACTGAGTCAAAAAGATGAACTTTGGCCTAACTTATTTCATGTCTTAAAAGCTTCTGTACCTGATCTGCTTCAGAATGAGGTGCTAGAGAATCTCAGACTCTCCCTGAATCTCCTACCTTTCCTGTGACTCTGCTACTTGGTAGAGAGCTTTGTGCAATGTGGCATCACGAAGATTCCCCAGTGCTCCTTTCTTGGCCAGCCTGCCTTCTTGAGCACATGTCTTAACATGTAGTCTTGATGCAAGGAGCACCAGTGGGCCGGACCATCACTTTTAAGACAAAACAGGATCAACTTTTGTTGCCAAAAGACAACGTGCCTGGGCTTGATAGGATTGGGGGTCATCCAATCCCCTACATTACACTGCAAACAGAAGAGCTTGTGCATGGTCCAAATTCTGCTTTTGGTGGAGGAAGGAAACCATCTCAGGGAAGAAGAGCAACTTGGACCAACGTCCAAGTCCAAGGCAGGTGTGGACTTGCGCCTTCTCTCCCATCAGTGTTATAGCGTGACTTAGGAATGGCAAGAGTTCAGGAGACAAAGGATGCACTAAAAAATGGCCAAAGTTCAGTGAAATAGCTATGGTGTAACCAGGAGTGCAACTTACCCGTGGTGTAGAGAGAGTGACTTCCTTTCTCTTCCAGAGAAGGCTCAGATCAGATGACGGAAACTATCTGAGACATAAAGGTTTCACACAGGGATGTCTGATGTCCAGAAGGAACATTTTCAAGATCATTATACCTGAAGCCCTACTGTTCTGGCCTGTTGACTGACCATCTCTCTCAGCTGTGCATTTTACTTTTTTAACTAAAATTAAAAGTCTAACATGAATATTAATTCAGTGAGTTTTTATTATGCACCTGTTCAGTTTGTGGGAACAATGCCAAGGGATCAGAGGAACAGAGAGGGCAGATGCTTCTCAGACGAGAAGTCTCGTCTCCTGAACCTCCATGGCCAGGTAGAGACCCCTCACCTGCCTGCCCAGTGCCCACAGAGGGAGGGAGGAACCAAGTGGGCCAGCCCTCCTATTACCTGCAGCTTTCCGCAATGCAGGCAGCCCTGGCTTCTTCTGCACAGATGAACCTGGGATTTGAGCTACATCACCCATGACGGTTCCCAGGAGCAATGTCAACTCCTGGTTTGCTGGGCGCCTTGGTCAGCTTTGGGTCAGGGAATCGGAGGCTGCCTCATGATGTCTGATTGATACTCAAGAAACACACAGCCTCTCTTTAGGTTTCAGTTCTGTTACATTCCACTTGTTCCTTACTTACAATCAGATTTCACACATAAAATACACCAGGTAAGTGAAGCAATGCTCCTTGTAGACATGTCTTAAGTGGGTGGGTTAATACACTCACCAATGGACCTTTGGGCAAAAGCACAGCTGGACGAGACAAATGTGCGCAGCGTCTGGCTTCTATTTGGAATTTTCCACTTTCTTATTAGCCTTAAAAGATCTGGGGGGTTTATTTTCCCCGTTTCCTGGCAGATTGATACAAGAGGCAAATTCTTCTGAAACAAAGAGCCCCAATAGTTTATTTATTACTGAGGGTAGGACCAAATGGTTTTATGACACTTACTGTTCCTGGGTATGAAGCTGCCCTTACACAGGCACAGCCATCATTTAACTATAGGACCTTGGCACTCTCTCACTGGGTCTGGGGGAGTGGTGTCTTGACAGGACAATGAAGTGAATGACAAGAAGACACTGGCAGGTGTATAAATAATACAGAACACCTGACCGGTCGCTGGCTTTTACAACTGGCCACAGCTGCTCACCAGTCCCCAGGCCTTCTCGTCACTGGGCCTAGTAGACATGGTCAGTTCTCCCAGAAGCATTAAGACCACAGCCATCCGTGCCTGAGATTCCACTCCCCATCCAGAATGCCAGGCTACAAACTTTGAAGGCTCTTGTGCAGAGGACACCCCACCCTGAAAGCAGCAGCTTGGGTCTGAATCGTGCTTCTGGTTGAAGAAAGAGCTAGCTACAGTGTTTGTATTGGTCCTTGTGTGGATTGGGGATGAGAGCATTACGTGACCATGTGGTATTGTGGGCTGAACTGTGTCCCCAACCCCCACAACTCTAACCCTGGCACACTGGAGTGTGACCTTCTTTGGAACTGAGGCCACGGCAGGTGTAATTAGTTAAGATGGGAGTCTACGGGAGTAGGACGGGCAGACCTTAGATATGGATGCATTCCTCCCAGAAAGGGACAGACACACACACAGAGCACCATGTGAGAATACAGCAGAGCTGGGGTGATGCTTCTGGAAGCCATGCAGTACCAACAATTGCCAGCAAGCCCTGGGGTGCGGGGGCAGGTGACAGGCGACGCATGAAATAGACCCTCCCCTGGGAGGGGCCACCCTGATCTTGGACTTGTGCCTTCAGAACTGAGATGATGCCTTTGTTGTTTAAGGCATCTGGTTTCTGCAGGAGCCCTTGCAAACGACCACAACCAGCACACTAAGTCACATACGCACAGCATGAGCATGACTTCACGTGAGGTTCTGGTTTCCCGGCTCAGCTCACCCAGACAAACACAACAGGACACCCTCACTGGGGGCTGAGCCCCCCCCTTCCTGGACTCGATGGACTGCACGTCCACCCAAAACCACCTATGAAGACCCTTCAAGGGTACAAAGAAACAGCATTTAGGGGTGGGTGTGCTACAGTTTAAAATGGGGCTTTGCCTTAGATAAGCTCCTGTTCCCTAATAAGCAGACATCATCACAAATAAAAGGGTAGGAGTTTCCCTTCTGCAGGAGCTATAAAGCCCCCCAGCACGGTTTGAGCCTGAAAAGGGCTGCCTGATAGCAGTGGGTTGTTTCTATGGGCCAAGAGGTGATGGAGACTCAGCCTTCTGATGACAGGATGCGGCCTGGTGTTTGGCCCTGTGGTCACAGGCCCACAGGCCGCACCCTGCCTTATTGCCACCCTCAGCCCATCAGCACACCCCAAGCTTCTTGCTGCCGGACAGCAGTGCAGGTACCCCCAGACCTCAGTACAGGGGAAGGGAGTGTACTTTGGCTGGCAAGGGCCAGACCCCGGGGGATGGTCCCATCCCTCCCTGCCAGGGAAGCTCTGGAGGGACGGTTCTCTAGGACCTGCAGAGATGAAGAGTCACAGCTGGTGGAGACGCGCCCTCCCTGCTTTTTGGCACGGCCGAGACAGAGCGCATGCTCAGTCGGCCACTATCTCATTTCTACCTGAGAGCGAAGGGTGGGAGGACGGAGCTTCTGTCCCGGGCAGGTGCACCGCGGGAGGGGCCAGGCCGGGCCGCCTCAGTAGGAGTTGAGGGCCTGCTTGGAGCGGCGCTTCAAGTGCAGGCGCTGGTGGCGAAGCAGGTCGCAGTTCTGAGAGAAGCTCTTGACGCAGTAGCGGCACTGGAAGGGCTGCGCCGTGCCCCGCAGGTGCGCGCTGCTGCGGTGCCGCGCCAGGTGCTCCGGCCGCTGGAACGCCCGCCCGCAGTCGCAGCACTGGAAGGATAGCAGGCCGCCCGGGCCCCCGCCCACGGCTCCCGCCGCGTTCGGCTCGGTCTTCGGCACCGGCTCCAGTCCACCCGTCGGCAGGTGTATCCGCCTGTGCGACAGCAGGTGCGAGTTGAGGCGGAAGCTCTTCCCGCAGGCGCCGCAGCGGTAGGGCTTCTGCGCCTCGTGGCTCTCCAGGTGCCCGTCCAGGTCCTCGCTGTCGCTGAACAGCTCCCCGCACACCGAGCACTCGTGCGGCTTCTGCTCCCTGCGGCTGCGCAGGTGCCGGATGAAATTGACCCTCCAGCGGAAGATCTTCCCGCAGTTGGGGCAGATGTAGGACTTTTTGGATGACGTCTGCACCTCGTCCCCGGGCTCTGCGCCGCTGCGGTGGGAGGCGGGGAGGCTGCGCGGCTTCTCGGCGGGGCCCCGCGGCTCATCAGTGCAGTAAGGGCTGAGCTGGGAGTCCTCGTCTCCGGAGCTGGACAGGACGATCTCGATGGTCACCTCCTCGTCCAGGCCGTTTTCGGGGGTCAGCGCGTCCCCTCCGGCTACAGGGAAGCCACGCGGAAGTTCATTCAGTGCTGCTGCCCATGCCACAGCCCTGCCCCTGCAAAGGCTCCCCAGGGAGGTTCAGAGTGGATTCTCTTCCCCTTCCCTGTCCTGTTCCCTTAAGGCCCCATCACACAATCCTTTCCTTCCTCCTTTTCTAGGCAGAGACCCCTACAAGCTCTAAAGACTTTGTATTCGTCAGTGTGAAGTCTTGGCCATTTACACATCAGTTAACACCACTTACCTAATGTCATAGGGCACGTTAAAGCTGTCAGGAAAGAGAAAGACACCATATTCTAGAAAGGCAGTGCCAGGAAGGTACCAGCTACCATGTGCTGAGCACTGACAAGCTCCAGGGGCTCTGTGGCACTTGTGACATGAACAGCCCTGTTTGTTCCTGGACATAAGTCCCTGATGTATTATTTGCCAAATTATATACACGCACAAACTTGGGTGACACACTCTGGGCTCAGGGTTGAAGGGGAGTCAGGCTCGTTGCGCTGACCTCAGGGCTGTTCAACAGTACCCTACACCCAGGTCAGCTTTCCCTCAGTGTCACCTCTGACGCCTGCCAGCCGCCCCCAGTGGTGATGGGTAGAGCTGCTCTGTACTTTAGACTGCAGCGGACAGACTCCATGAATCCTGAGTCTGTGATGTTGGAAGATGGGTGGGGAGTGGGGTGAAGTTGTAGCCCCAGGCCCACCACGCAGCTCCCCATCTGGTCTGTTTCCTCACTGTGTGAGATGTGGGACTGAGGCGGGGGGGCGGGGAGTGCTGCGAGACCCCCTTGAGGTCTTAGCAGGAATTGAGATGTTAGCAGAAATATGCCGATTCTGGATTTAGTCTCTGGAGGAAGGAGCACTCTGTGAGGTTAGGGAACCTGAGGGTGGGTGGAGCTGGAGATACAGAAGCAGGGCAGGAGTACCCAGAAGCCACAGAGCATGGGGCAGACACCAGGCAGCAGCAGGGCCATGAAGCACTTGTTCCTAAGGGGACTAGGGTAAGGGGACACAGCACAACATGAGACTGGGGAATAAAGACTTGAGAACCTGGAAAATTCCCACTTTTATCCACACTGAAAAAATTACAAAGTATGCTCTGGAGAGAATGCCCAAGTGGCCGGATAACCATTTGGTAAAGGGATTCTGGGTGTAACCCACAGAGGGGAGGCAATCCAGGAAAGAGCTGCGGAGGACCCTCTGGTCTGGTGACCTGAACGCCTGTGAACTGCACTGTGAGCAGGGACGCTGCCGACTCAGACTAAACAGCAAGAGACCTTAGGAAGGCCGTCAGACTTCTGGGATTCCACAGAGAAGTCCAGCAGAGCTATCTGGAGACACATGGCAGTCGGCCTTGATGAAAGAGGGCTGGCTCCAATGGCCGTCCCCAGGTAGACAGGATGCTACAGCAGCCTGGGGCCCAAGGGCGATCAGAGTGCTGGCCAGAGATTGATACCAAGCCTTAAGTTCAAGTTTATTTATTTTTGAGAGAGAGAGAATGAATGAGTGTGCACATGAGCAGGGGAGGGGCAGAGAGAGAGAGAGAGAGAGAGACACAGGGAAGGAGAGAGACAGAATACCAAGAGGGTTCTGTGCTGAGTCAGCACAGAACCCAACTTGGTGCTCAAACTCATGACCATGAGATCACGACCTGAGCCAATATAAAGAGTCAGACGTTTAACACACTGAGCCACCCAGGTGCCCCAAACTTTCTTTTTTAAAAAAATTTTTAATGTTTATTTTTGAGAGAGAGACAGAGTGCAAGCAGGGGAGGGGCAGAGAGCGGGAGGCACAGAATCTGAAGCAGGCTCCAGGCTCTGAGCTGTCAATACAGAGCCCGGCGTGGGGCTCAAACTCATGAACCACGAGATCATGATTTGAGCCGAAGTCGGACCCTTAACCAACTGAGCCACCCAGGCGCCCCAAGCCTTAAGTTCTAATGGAATTTGCCCTACTGGGCCTCAAACTTGCTTGGGAACCTTTCTTCTTCCCAATTTTCCCCTTTTGGGATGAAAAGGTCTATCCTGTGCCAGCCTGAGCACTGCACTTTGAGAAGTACAGCACTGGACGTGTGGTTTCACAGATTCACAGCCAGAGAGGATGTGCCTTGGGTCTCACCTCTACCTGATCTACAGGACATTCAGATAAGGTTACGGATGCAGAGCTGGTGCTGGAAGAGATTAAGGGATGTCCAGAGAGGGTGAATACACTTTGCATGGGAAGAGAACATGGACTTTGTAGGACACGAGGGTGGAATGAGCTGAACTGCAGCCCCTTAAAAATCCATAGATCCAAGTCCTAACCCCAGTACCTTCGAATAGGAGCATATTTGGAAATAAGGCATTTCAAGAGGGAATTAAGTTAAAATGAGGTCATTAGGGCAGGACCTGCTCCACCAGGTGTCCTTGTAAGAAGATTGGGGCACAGACACTCAGAGATGGATTGCGAGAAGACACAGGGAGGAGACTGCCATCCACAAGCCAAGAAGAGGGAGGGGGGCTCAGAAGCCCACCATGCGGCCACCTTCATCCTAGCCATGCAGCCTCCAGAATTCTGAGAAAATCCACCCTTGTTTGAGCCTCCCGGTCTGTGGTATCTTGGTATCGCAGCCCTCCGAGACTAATAGAATGCACATGGGAGGACATCCACTCAGATCAGAAAGTTAACAAAAATAGACGTGGAGCTTCTGAAGAGGGAGGAAGAAATCAACAGTAATGCTGTTGTGTGTCATCAATACAACAATGTGAAGAATCCCTAGTATGTAACATGAGACTCCGAGGTGTGCCCAGAGCAGCAGGAAGAGAGTAAGAGGGAGCTCTTGGCTCAGCACTGATGAGTAACAAGGTGTGTGGGGTCGGACGCAGGGGCGCTGAACTGAGTAGTAGGGTAACAGTGGGGTAACAGGCAAGAATTACTGATCTATCTACGTGCTTTTACATGAACTATTTAATCCTCAACAACGAGTCCATCTGAGGGCACGTGGTGGGGGGGGGCTCAGTCCTTTAGGTGTCCAGACTCTTGAATTCAGCTCAGGTCATGATCTCATGGTTTGTGGGTTCAAGCCCCATGCTGGGCTCTGTGCTGACAGTGTGGAGCCTGCTTGGGATTCTCTGTCTCTCAAAATAAATAAATAAACATTAAAAAAAAGAGAAAGAACCATAGTAACCCCACCTGGCAACTATGATGATTACGCCTGTTTGGCAGGTGAAAAATTTAAAGCAGAGGGAGAAAGCAGCCCTGAGTTTCAGGAGAGCTGTGGCCAGGCTGTGCTGCAGGCAGGAAACGGCCAGACCGGCATGTGAGCCAGGAGCAGAGGCACATGCCTTGGCTCGCAGCTGACATGTCCTGAAGGGCACTCTGTGCATTGGAAATGAATAGACCCCCAAGAGCCAGAGGGGCTGAGGGGCAGCGTGGACTGAAAGTAAATAAAAAAAAATAAAGGCATTATAAAAAATATATTCTTAGAATGTTAGAGTGGGGAGGCTTACTTACAAGACAAAAAACCAAACAGGAGACGATGAATAAATTTATATTTTTAAAATGCAGAACAAGAATTATAGGCTGAAAGACCTAGAAAGTTTAAAAAAAGTGGGAAGAATCGTGTGCATATATGTAAGAGGCCCTTAATGTTGAGTTTCTATGAAATTCTCTCAGAGAACACCAGCTTGGTAATGTGAAGGGTATAGCCCAGATGTTGTGCATCTGACCACATGGCTTCATATCTGCAGGGCAGGGTGTTCCTGGGCCCCTGACTTCGGACCACGTGCCCCAGATGCACAACAGAGACATCATAGTACCTCTTACGGGCTAAATATCTGTCTCCCCCAGTACTCATACGTTCGAGCCTGCGTTAGGCAGTGTGGCCTTTGTGGGGGTGGGGGGTGGGGGGGTGGTGGTGGCTAGGTTTAGATAGTGGGACCTACTGGTGTTGGGACCCTTGTGTTGGGATGAGAGCCCTTACAAGAAGAGGAAGAGACAGGACAGATCCATGCTGTCTCCTTCCAAGAGCACACAGGGAGAAGGCAAGCGTCTACGAGCCAGGAAGAGTCCTAACTACTTACAGGATGTGCTAGCACTACCATCTCAGACTCCCCCCACCTCCAGACTGTGAGAAATAAATCCCTTTCGTCTAAGCTGCCCCATCTACACTGTCTTGCAGAATCAGCCTGTGCTAAGACAGTATGCATCTTGGAAGGTGCCAGAAGGACCCAGTGCACACAATCTCGTTGAGAACTTACAGTGGTGCTGCACTTGGGCCCTAAACAGAGCTCACCAAATGTGAACAGGGAAAAGCCAACAAAAACAAGGATGAATAGTAACTAGTCGACTCACAGAGGAAATGTGGGAAGCTAAAAGACACGCTCCATCTCTGTGCAGCACTGAGATGCACTGGTGATTGGCACGAATGGATGGGCCCGTAGCATCTTGCGTGGGCACGGCTGTGCAGGTACAGACCCCTCCCCTGATGTCACAAAGCATGGGCCACCAAAACAAAACCAGTGCCTGTTCCTGGGAATCCAGCACCTCCCCAATCTCAGACGGCAACCTTGGCTTGTGCCATTTCAGAAGAGACTCTGTGTCAGGACCCAGGAAGGGGAGTGGAGGTGAGAGCACTCCATATTGGTGAACATCCGTCCCCCTTGTGAAATGACGCCGGTGGGGGTGAGACACACTGTGGGCAGGGAGGTGCCAGCAAGGACCCAACATGCCTCTGGGGGTATTGCTGAAGCCTGCATGAACGATCACCCTCAGCACACAGATTTACACAAACACACACATAAATGACTGTGGGCCCTGCATGAAGCTGCATGGAAATACCACAATCCCACGCCAAGTCTTGCCTCCAAATGCCACCACGGGTCAAAGAGATCATGCGTTAGCCCGTCTTCCTAACTGAGGGAAATCTCCATGACCCAGTGGGCTCCAGGGAGAACCAGAGCTTGGGTCTGGTGTTTGGGAAGAGGTCTGAACCCCGAGACCAATAAGGCTGGCTGTATTTTAGTTCTTGCTTCTGCAGGTGGTGACTTTCACCATCACAGCTCAGAGTGCATGCTGGCCACTCCTGTGAGGCTCTGCCTCCTTGTCCAGAGGGCCCCTCAACTCGGCCATCCCAGACCTGGTCTTAATTCCTGGACTCAGATCAGGGACTCTGACCCTACATCACAGCCCTGCTTCAACCCGCAGAGGGAGGGCAAGGAAGGGAGGTTCTCCAAACCTGAGGGATCCAGGCAGAACAGAACCAGCCCAAGCAGCTGCAGCTGGCAGGGGTCCCGAAGAGTCCAGTTCCTGACCCCACCCTACCTCCCAGCCGCACACACGCACCACACTGGACACCACACACGCGTGCACTTTCGCATGCCTCACACCGGACACCAAGTGCACAGGCACGCACACACGGACCCCACCACACAGCACACAGGCAGGTAGACATGTGCTCACGCGCACCACACTACACACCAGCACACACCATACTACACCCCCTACCATGTACATTGTTGCTCGCATACACACTGCACACCGCCCCCCACTCTCCCCACCCCCTTTACCTGGGCGGGTACTCTGGGTGAGTGCCGTCTGCTGGCAGGTCTGGAACTCGGGCACCTGCAGCTCATCCCGTTTCCTTCTCTCTTCCACCTGGAATGGCTGGAGACCTGGGAAGTCTTTCCAGAGAAGAAAATGGAGAAACTGACTTGCCCTGCAGTTGCCAGCCTCACATATGCCCTGCTGTGATCTGGGAGCAGCCCTGGGCAGCCGCTTGGTAAGGCGGAATGGCCAGCAGCAGGAACATGGGCTCTGACACCAGACAGAATCTGTATGGATGTGGATGCCATCTGGTCCTGAGGGCATCCCTGTGCTCACTGCCACTCTGTGGTGGGGTTTGTGCAAGGCTTCAGCACGGGGCCCTGCACCCATGGATACAGACCCAGCCGGTGCAGAGGGAGCACAGGGGCCGCCGCCTCCATGTGCCGGAGAGTCTGCACCTCGTCCCAGCTGGGGGTGGTGAGCCACAGCCTGGTCTGATTTGCCAGCTTCAGGTCCCAGAGGGGCCGAGGTGTGGAGCTGCTGCCCATACTGTGCAAAGCGTGTCTCCCTGAAGGGGTGGACATCTCATGGCATCAGGGCACGGAGTTCTGGTGACACGGACTGCCCCAGGGCAGGGAGGTTGTGGGAAAATGCTGCTGAGCTGTGCTGCTGTCCACTCAGCCCCAGCACCTCTCTGTGCCTTGGTTTCCTCACATAAACCAGACTGGCCAGGCATCCAGAGGTGCTATGCCTGGTGCCTGGCCAGGAGAAGCTATGGCCTCCTCCTCCTCCTCCCCGGCCTCACTTCTGGAGAGTACCTGACCTCACATGTGGGAGTTGGGGGCAGGGGGGCACCTGTTCGGCACAAACCAGCACTGCTTACAGTGAGAAGAAAGACTTCTGTCACACCCTGGGCTCTGGCTGAGGGCAGAGTGATCCCCACACCCAACAGAACTGAAACCTCACAGTGTTTCTGGAAGAGTCAGGGAAGAGGCCAGGCATGTTCCAGCAAGACAGAGTGTGGGATGGGGGGGAGGGGGAGGGACACTGGGTTGCAGAGGGAGGCTGGAGAGGCTGGCCTGCCCTGGCCAGCAGCAAACTCCCCCCAGCTCTGCAACCATCACTCACCCAAGTAAGAAACCTGGGGCACGTCCTTCCCTTGCAGGTCCTGCAACTCTGGAACCCGGGGCTCGTTCTCCTCTCCCTGGGAGAGATGCAGCTGGGTGCCCGGGTCACCTGTTCATGGAGAGGAGGACACAGTTGTCACTGAGGTGTCTGCACAGGAGCCCAGGCCAGATGGAGGGGGGGACCTCCGCATCAGGGCAGATGCACCCGCAGGGGCCATGAGGGGCCATGGGGCATGCAGGGAGGGGGCAGGACAAGTAGCACATGAAAGGAAGAGCTTTGGGATGAGCGCATATCCTTTGGGGCTGTCAGGAAATCAGACGTGAAGAGAGCCATAGAAGAATGACAGAAAACCAGGGTGCCTGCATGGCTCAGGTCATGATCTCACGGCTTGTGAGTTGGAACCCCGCATTGGGCCATGTGCTGACAGCTCACAGCCTGGAGCCTGCTTTGTGTGTCTCCCTCTCTCTCTGCCCCTCCCCCACTCATGCTCAGTCTCTCTTGCTCTCTCAAAAATAAACAAACGCTAAAAAAAAAAATGGCAGAAAACCAGACGCACAGGAAACATGTTGCATTTGGTTTTGTATGAAACAGCCAGGCGAGCCTGATCTACATGTGGCAGACAGAGGGTGGGTGATGGTCAATCTGCAAAGTGCCCATGAGGTCTGGGGGTGAAAAGCAATCAGATGCCGCCCCGCCCCCCCCCCCGTCTCTGGCCTCAGGAGAGAGGGGGTAAGTCTTACTTGGAGGCAGCGAGACCCCACAGTCCTCCCCGATGATGAACTCTCCATAGAAGCCCGTCTGCGCAGGGTCTAGAAGGGACCAGTCCTCTTGGGAGAAGCAGAAAATCATATCCTTGAAAGGAGAAACCCGGTTCTGAAACCACAGGGGGACAACGAGGATGCCTGAGTCCAGGGAAGCTCTGAACCAGGGGAAAGCAAGCTGGGATGAAGGGCAGAGCCCCTTGAGACCCCAGCCGCATGAGCCCCAGGAAGGGAAGGCAGAGAGGCTGCCCCAACTGTAGCCTGAGATGACCTCACACGGATCAGGTTCAGCATAATCCCAATGGCAGATGCCTCTTGGGGACAGGATGGCCACGGATCATTCACTGGCTTCCTTGTCAGTGCTGGGGCAGCCTGACACCCTCAGCTCCAAGGTGGGTACATGGGGAGCGTCCAACTGAATCACCAATGCAGACATTGCATTTTTAGAGTTTATGCTGTATATGTGCAAAGTACAAGCTTGTTCACTGCAACATTAATGATTCCAGGTGACAGTGAAAGAATCTGACATCTGTGCCCAGTGTCAAAGAACTAAGCTACTTCCCAGCAGGAACATCACACACCGGTGAGGAGGAACGAGGGCCTGTCTGTACCAAGAAGGAATCCCTCTAAGGGATTCACCCATGGAAAAAACACCCATGTGGAAGGTGGTCTAGATGGTCCCCACGTGCCAAGTGTCCAGAAGTCTGGAACGCTGCCTGCTGCTATAGAGGGGCCTATGGTTAGTGCTACATGGAGACTTTGCCTTCTTTCTTTTTTAAAAAAAAATTTATTACTGTCTTTTTAAATTACGTAGGCTCCACACCCAAGGTGGGGCTTGAACTCAGGACGCTGAGATCAAGTGTTGGATGATCCACCGACTGAGCCAGCCAGGTGTCCTGACAAGGAGACTTTTCTTATACTTTGAGTCATGAACCATGGCAATTTTTAATTTAAAAAGTGATAGCATATGCATATAATACCAGGATACCATAACAATAAAGAAGGACCCCTGGGGGCTTAGTCGGTTAGGCGTCCGACTGCAGCTCAGGTCGTGATCTCGCAGTTTGTGGGTTCGAGCACCCTGCTGGGCTCTGTGCTGAGAGGTCAGAACCTGGAGCCTGCTTCAGATTCTGTGTCTCCTTCTCTCTCTGCCCCTCCCCTGTCTGCACTCTCTCTCCCTCTCAAATATAAATACAATAAACATTAAAAAAAATAAATAAATGAAGATATCCTCTGCAAAATAGAACTACAAGATCTCTGCCAGCTGAAGCATGAAGTGAGGGTTTCAAGTTTCCTGTGAATGTTACAAGACAAATGGATGGTAACAATAAATGTCATGTAAACATTGTTCATTTTGGGGGCACATGGGTGGTTCAGTCGGTTAAGCATCCAACTCTTGGTTTCAGCTTAGGTCATGATCTCACGGTCTGTGAGTTTGAGCCCTGCATCAGGCTCTGTGCTGGCAGCTCAGAGCCTAGAGCCTGCTTCAGATTCTGTGTCTCCCTCTCTCTCTACCCCTCCCCTGCTCATACTCACTCTCTCTCAAAAATAAATAAAACATTAAAAACATGAAAAAGAATTCATAGTATTTCTTTCATTATTAATTTTTTAATGTTTATCCACACATTTCTGAGAGAGTGACAGCATGAGCAGGGAAGGGGCACAGAGAGAGGGAGACAGAATCCCAAGCAGGCTCTGCACCATCAGCATGGAGCCCAATGTGGGGCTTGAACCCATGAACCATGAGATCATTACCTGAGCTGAAATCAAGAGTCGGATGCTCAACCGATTGAACCATGCAGGTGCCCCATAAACTCTTTAAAGGTCAATCATCAGGAATATAAGTGAAATTTAACAGTTGTAGGTTTACAATTACTTCTTGGTTTTTCTTTGCCCAAGCAAAGGTTAAATCAAGATTATAAGTGTTATGCTCCTCTGGGTCCTGGAGGGTGTAGGAAAACGGGTCCTCACACATGCTTAGCAGAAATGCATGTTTCTGGACATTTGGGAGAATGCTAACAGAAGCACACCCATTCTACTTCTGGGAAATTTTCCTAAGGAATCCTCAGAGATATATGCAAAAATGTGTGTGAAACAACATGGAACATGCTGTTTGGGAGAATTGCGCGAGGATTCTTTTGTTCTGCACACTTTTCCCTAGTGGCTGAAGACTGCCCTGAGCGTGTAGTATGTAGCTAGCTCTAGGACATGGACTTATTTCAGAGTATGGTTCTGTCAATAACGTTCGGGTTTTCCCCAATTCTTTGCTACTAAGAGCAACGGTCCAATGAACTCCCTCATCAGTCTCCCTGCCCACGAACAAGTGTCTCCAGGGTCGACATGAACAACCTCTTCCCCGATATTAAATATTCCCACATCGTTCTTCCAGTGGGGTACCCACAACTGTACTCCACAGGCAACACACCTGTACTGTTCACCCACATCTCTGCCAACACCTGGCAAGGCCACGTCTACGGTTCTAATGACACTGTGGGCAAGGAGCAATCAGCAGTGGAACTACCCTTTTCTCGATGAACATTTTTCTCATGGGTTTATGGGCCAATCTGCATCTGTCTTCTTTGAAATCCTCGTGTATTTTCTTTGCACGTTTTTCTATTTTCTCATGGTTCCTTTTCCTAATTTTTTTAACCAGCTTATTTAAAATTGCAGACGTATGTGTCTCTTATAAAAGAAAAATTAATATTATTTTAATTTTAAAATTAAAAAAAATCCAATGTGTTGCATTAAAAAAAATCAGTAATATTAGTGGTATAGAATGAACTGTTTGAAAAAACAGAACAAAACACAAAAACCTCACACCTCATGACAAAAACACAAAACAAAAAAACCCCCAACCAAAACCAGAACAAAGAACAAAAACAACAAAATCTTGAAATGAATCAAAGACCCATATGTAAAAAATCACAACTATAAAATTTCCAGAAGAAAATTCTGTGTGACCCTGGGGTAGACAGAGATTCATTAGGACATAAAAAGTATATATTACAAAAGAAAAACACGGGACCTCTGATGTCCAATCTTCATAAGACATCAAAACAATGAAAAGGCAAACTGTAGAAGAGTGATAGAAAATATTTCCAATAATATATCAAAGGACTTTTATCCAGCATATATA